GTGGAAGAAATTGATTCAAGTTAAGAGGTGCTTTCTTTTCCGTGTTATAAACCCATGCCTTCTGATTTGTGCAGAAATAAATTGTTTTGTTGCGTATCAGCCATCTGTTTGAGACTGAGGGGAAGGATGTGTGGTAATGTCAGATCAAATATTAGGTGCAGCTGAGCAGCCAAATAGACAATCCCCAGGGTCTTCTTATTAGGTGTGGGTAAGTATCCAAAGTATGGGTGCCTGTCTGTACTCTCGAGGTTCCCATATCTTCTCTGTGCACTACACAAGCAGATTTCACTGTCCTTCTGTTAGAAGGAGAAGGGTTGTAGCCTCCTGCTCTGTGTTCTGCTCCTCATCTCTGGCCTCCAGGCACCCAGCACCTGGAGGGAGCCTGTGTGCACATGTGCTTGTTGTGCTCCAAGCAGAGTGTAGAATGAACCGCTGGCCTTGTTTACTAGGTAAATCACAGACACATCCTCACGCAACAGCCCGTCAGCCGGAGTGGTGTGCCTCACGCCTGCCCAGTTCAGGAGAGGGTGGTGGGTGCCCGGCGCTGGGCTCCAGGGAGGCGAACACCAGGGCTGCCAGCCTGGCCTAACAGATTGCAAAGTCAGAGGTGATCCCCTCTCTGTCCTGCGGTGGGGAAGATGGTCTGTCAGTAGTTCATGTCTCATTTGCAAAAGGCCTAACTGTGCCGGAGGGGAGAAGCAGGTGGCTTTCAGTCACTCTGCAAGCCAATGTCAGAGACAAGACTAAAACCCGGTTCTTGAAATCCCAGGCTCTGTCCTCTATGGCCTACTGCCTAAGCATGTATCAGGTTTTAATAAAAACCACCAAATCTTAATTTAGAGCAGGATTCAAGAAAACTGTCCTATTCAATTACTTAATTGTAGGTGAACTATAATCATAAGACACAGACGCGTCTTGCTACAAAGCACCAAGCAAAAAAGCAGAAAGGATTATTTGTTGTTTAATTTAGCAGAGGAAGGCAGCTGATGATGCATAAGTCTGACACCTAGCAAGTTGTGTGATCCTATTTGTTAATCTTTTTAACTTTCCATTTTATTAGGATAGGGTTTCAAGAGCAAATAGAATAAATGAGATTAAATCTGTCACCCTGAATTACTCTCCTCTGACTTATGAGCAGAATCACTCTATGTTGGAGAAGTATAATTACGAGGAAAATGCTCCCTGTGTAATTGTGTGCTTCGTTCAGAAGAATTTGAGATCCATAATTATCTCTAGTATGCCGCTGTGGCGTGGGCTGGCTCTTAATTTCTACAGTAAACAAAACCATTGAAGGTTTCTCTCCTGAGCAGTTCTTGATGTAGCATGGCCGGTACCAGCAAGAGTAGCAAAATTATCCTTCAGGTCTCCTGGTTCAAGAGAGGGATCCAAACTAACTTTTAACAGAGCGCCCATCATGCATTTATTTTCACATCTACCCTGAACTTAAACGTTTGATTGTGCAGTGAGGAATAATGGTCATGGGGAACAGAGAGTCTTCTGAGCTGTAGATATGCCAGGTGAAGCATGTCTAGCTGCTTATGCAAAAAGCAAGTCGTAGCACATCTGGTGCTGTGTTCCATCACTTAACTTTTTGGTGGTCCAAGGATATTGCCTTTGACCTCTGCAATGACCGTGATTCTGCAGGTGCTCCTGCAAGCACAAAGGGTGCAGCTTTCTTTGACAATAATGAAGCTCTAATAGAAAAGCTCTGGGTTAGGACTTGGTGCTTTCGCTCCTAGATGTCAGTGCACATCAGAAATCTTGGGGTTTAGTTTTTCTCTCAGAAAAATCTGGCGTTGCTCCTCCATTAGGGAACTATACACTGCTCTTGGCTCTGCTTAATTTATATGGCCCTATAAAATTTGTGGTAACCTTCATGCTACATAATTCCACTGTGACGTGAGTTGAAGACACAAAGACTGTAGCCTCTTGAAATTTGGGGTTCACCAAGCAAAGCAAGCTTTGAATCCATGTGTTGTTCATCTAGATTCATAACAGCTTCTGTTAGAAAAAGCAACTGCAAAGTTCAGCTAGATTTGTGCCGTAGATTGGTGTTATTGCTGCTGCTGGAAGCCGATCTCCTGGATAGAGAATATGCAGAAAGTAAAGAGAAGCACACCTCGGGTCCTGCTCAGACATTTCTGCAGCTTCCTTCTCGAGGCAGAGAGCGCAGAGGGTCAGAAGCCAGACTTTTGCATGATGGATTAGTGATAAAACAGCCTACCAGACGTGGATTAGAATTTCTATTACTTTGCCTAAAATTATGGGTGCATTAGGGGAGAGGGACAGGGAGGATGCATCATTTTTTGGGAATCCTAGTAGCAATTTTATTTTCTTTTTCAGACCTTTTGACAGTTATGAGCCAGTACTTGATCTCCACATCTGTTTTTATCGGTCAGTCTAGTTTACAAATGAGGCTCCTTTTGTCCCGTCTAATTTTATGTAATCTGTAATGCTGCATAAAGACTCTGGGAAGAAAAAATAGAAGGATTGTGAACAGACCTTCTGGCTAATATGTACAATGACTCACTCTATCCTTTATTTCAACTTCCGTGAAGTATTTTCAGATACACTATTTACCCATTAAATGAGCTGTTTAGTTTAGCTTATGGCTAAAGCTTTTCCTAGTATTTTGATGTATTTGTTGGGAACATGACAAAATAAATCACAAATGCGAACATTAACAAATGCTTACATTTATCGTCTGAGACAGTCTCTCTCATTATAATCTTGTTCTGAGTAACTAGTTATCTGTAAGAAAGAGTTTCCTGTCCCTTGATTTGCCAGCTTACTTGACTTCACTGCCAAGGAAATCTCTTCTCCATGATTGACACGCAATGGGTAACTTCATAATCTTTCTCTGTGTAGGCAATTGCTTCATGGGAAGAAATTAAGTCAGTCATGCCCACTGCTGAATCTAATTTTACTATAATTCGGAGGGAAGAGCCCTTCCCTCGGTAGAATTCATTCTATAACTGCTTATTTCAGGATTTCTTTTGCTTTCCTCCAAAGGATCTGGCAGAAACTGTTGTTAGTGACAGGCCTGCAGCTTGCTTGGCAAGGTCACTGTGGCACATTTCACGGCAAGCAAGAAACTTCTGCCTTGCCTTGGTTTTCAGTCACCAGCAGCTGCTTTGAGGAAAACTGAGCATGGCAGCCAGTCAGTATGACCTCGCTGCATGTTGAAATTCCACCTCTTGGGGAAGGTAAGGGTCTCGGGGTACCTCATGGAGTCAAGCTGTCTTCAGCTGGGTCTGTCGGAGCTAATTCATCTCCATCAGCTTTCTCTTCTACAAGACCTGCTCCTTTACCCAAGCTCCACAACCACCTGGACAAGATCCCAAATGCAAGAGAAACACAGAGAAATTCAGCTCTCGTCCACTGAGCTCTCAGCTCTTTCCTGTTCTCTTAATAGGTGCTAATTTCCTGGGCCTTTCCCTGCTTAAGACCAGTCCTGAGAGAAACCCCATGCTTCTGCTCCCCCTCTGTGGGTTGCGGGCTGTAGCAAAGCATCCTTACTCAAGTGAGAAGATGTATTGTTTCCTTCTCCCTGACTCAGCCTGGAGGTTTGGCCCCAGCCACAGGCATATCTTGCTCTCGGCTTTACAGTTCATTCACCCTGGGTAGGATTTGTCCATCTTTTTCTCGCTCCAGGCCAGGCCGATTGAAGCGTGCACAAGGAAAGGTCCTTTTAAAAGCAGTTTGCAGCAGTGCAATGTTAAAAGCCTGGCTGTGAAGAGGAGGGAAGCGCAAAACAATCTCTTCCTGCCTGCTCACAAAGAAATGGGAGGAGAAAACATGGTGCCCTTCTAATGCTGGCCACAAGAGCATGTTTAGCAGTGTCTCTTCAAGGTCAGTAACACCGTTCTCAGCTGCTCAAAACAGCGTATCGGTAGCAAAACCAGTGCAAATTAGATTTGGGAGAAGGCTGGTTGTTTGCTGTTGTTTTTTGTTTCTCTCCGCAGGCTTCAGCCTGGCAGAGAATCAGATTGAACCGTAGATGTAATTGAGGCAAAATGCAATCCAGAATATGCGGGCTGATGTATGATTTCTGCTGATGGTGGCAAGCTGTTGCTGCTGAATGGCTGGCTGCTCTGCAGCCTGGCAGGAGTCCCCACCCGCCAAGGCAGGTGGAAACCTAAGGAGCCACTCTAAGTTGCCTGTAGACAGGCTGTTTTCTGCCCTGGTCCTGCCCTCCTCGGCTGGTGGGAAGTGTTCTTCTTTCCAGCTAGAACAATTTTCTACAAGTAACAGGCATTTCTCCATCTTCTTTCCAAAGTCTCCTACTTTTTCTCCTTTACCCATTATCTTCAGTTCCTCTCAGTTACCTTCGCCGGGTAGGCAGCAAGGCTTTCCGGTGTTTCTGAAAAGTGCTCACGTGGCAGATGCCATCCACTTTCTCTTCGATATTGCATTCTTACATGCTGGTGACACCTGCAGAGCCCATCCTCGGTCTGACTAAACTTTCCCCCAAGGAGAGGTTTTGTAGTGTTGGTTCTGAGCGTTACTTGGAATTGAAAACCACCCAGGGAAGCATAGTGAGAAGTGAATGTGCTTCTCTTTGTACCTGCTGTGGAGATCAGTGGTTTAAGAATCCCATTCTGCTTTACACCAGTGAAAATTGAAAGTAATGCCAACTGCAACAAGGCTATATAGACGGTAAAGAGAAGTGCAACAATGGGATGAAGGTTTTAGAGAAGCAAAATGCCAGGTTGCAAATGAGGCAATAGGGTTGCAAAGCCCTACCAGCCATGTGAACAATTGGTGCTTTCTGTGCTGTGGAACAAAGCAGCTTTACAAAGGGTGTCTGCAGCGTACTTTAGATCACTGAAACTGGCTCTGTGGAAATTTCTGTTGTTAAATTGCAAATCCAGCCTTGCTGCATGGCTGGTGGGGAGGGGACGAGACAGCCTCTCTGTGTGATGATGGGGAATGGGAAGAAACTACGTGTTACAGCCGAAAGAGCCCTTACCTATAACTTTTCTTCTGCACAGGTGCCCCTGGTTGACAAAAGCCATCTCCCCGGCCATCCCACTGTACAATGGGCTCGTGTTCTTGTTTGTACTGGCAAACTTCAGCATGGCAACTTTCATGGACCCTGGAGTTTTCCCACGAGGTAACAGAGAATGGGACTGTTGCGGGGGGGATTTGAAATCCCAATCCAAAAGAGGTGTCAGGTATCCAAATACGCTGTTTGCTGACTAATCCCCTTTTTTTCTGGTATTCTTTCTTGTAGACTTTATTTATTTCACTCAGCTGGCAGTAGAGGTGGGATGGTAGTGAAATGCTGGACGCCCTCCATCTCTCTTCTGAGCTGGGAGGTGTCAGTGGTCCTCGCGCTTGCTCAGGCCGGCAGTCGAGGGCACAGGGTTGCAGAGTATGGTTCTCCTTGAGTAGCTCTCCTGACTGATGTGATTGCGATTGCCGTCCCCTGTGTCATGCTGGCACATTGGATTTCAGTCACTCTCTTCACAAGAGGTGGCAGGGCATGGTGGAGGGGAGAGACTGAACTTTCTGAAACAGCAGAAAGCAGGTCAAAGCAGACCTTCCAAAAAGCCTTAAAACAAATGCAAAAGCATTGAACGCTAAAAAAGATAATGATTAAGGCTTGCCTTAGAGTGTCTAAAAATGTATACATTTAAAAAGATATCTCTGCTTAAATTAGTACTGATTCACAGCTGATTAAATAGGATAAAGATCGCTCAGCTTTTGTAATGGGAACCACAGTGCAGCTATCGCTTTTAACACATCCTAATGGGAGAATTGTCACCTCATTTTATCAGTCTTCCAATAATTATTCACATGCAGTTTGCAGCAGAGACTGCTCTAGGCAGTCTTGCTAAAGCAATGGATGTGCGCTCTCTGCAAGCTGTGCTTTCTCACCTCTATTCACTGAATTCAATATCTATTTTGAATTGCTACCTGACAAGAAGGTGGCACCTGTCCTGCTGGCTTCCCCGAATAGCAAGTGCCAGGTTTCTCCAGGTGGCAGGGTCTAATGAAGAGCATCTGTCTGCCATTCCTTTCAGCCGAAGCTTTTGAACCCCTGATTAAGTCTTGCCACACTCCAGTTAAGGAAATAATTGTGTGTAAAGGTGAACTAAGGCAAAGGCAAGATTCAGTCATTTGTGCAAGATGAAGTGATGCAGTGTTTAGGTGCTTAAAGGTACAAATAGGTGCTAGTGAGATTTTCAAAAGAGCTTAAGCACTTAGAGCTTTTAATGAGTTTCCTGGACTTTTTAGTTCCTCCATCTCAGCAGAGATCGCAGCGGTTAAATATGCTTTGGCTGTGAGGTTATCAAAAGCATCCATGCTCTTTGCCTTCAGAAAAGTTGTTCAGACCGGAGCCTGCAGCCGGCCGCTCACCGTGCCCTATGAGTGATCAGTACTGAGTGTATTGTAAATTCATACCTTCCTTTGCACCTCTCTAACTTCCTTCTGCAAACAAGTTCTTTATTTTGGACTTGCATTTAAAGGCAAAACACACAGGGAGATCGAATAGAAACTTGGAAACTTTCTCATCACCTTTACTCCCTTCCCATCTCCCTTAAAACAAGGAAGTGAGGAGCAATGTGGGAAGAGGAGGAGATTCCTGCAGCTCGCCTTTCTTCTGTCTCTTCATTTGTGGCCTTGGCCTTATATCCCTATGCTGTGCATGTGCTTGGTCTGGAAGAGGCTGGGAGCAAGGGGAGTGGGGAAAGGACGAGAAAAGGGATGGAAGTCATCCTGGAAGAAAGTGATGGAGTAGGAGTTTAGATGTGTGAAGGAAGCAAACTGATAAGGAAAAGGAAAGATGAAAAAGACCATAAATACCAGTGCTGGGAGGAAAGAGGAGCAGATGTTATTTCAGATCACAAGTGTGCATGTGAAAAAAAGCTATCACCACCCCACGCCACCCACAGAGCTGCCAGTGCAAGGAGTTCAAAAATTGTAGGAGTGATTTAAAATTAATATACAATAGAGATCTATTTGCTTTCTGTTATTGAAATTAGGTTTAGTCTTCTTGGTTTTCAAGCTTCTTAGGACATTTCTGACAGTTACAAATTTACTTCAAAACCAAAACAAAAAATAAGCAATACAAAAGCTTAGATTCTAAAGAAATCACATGATTCCTCTAAGGAAACCACCAAAAATCACAAGATATGTTATAAAAACATGAGACTTGGCTGCCCTGTGTCAGTGGATCAGAGTATGAGAGTCTGTGCAGTAAGGTACATTCCTCTGCCAATGGGTTCTTCTGCTCAGATCACTGAAAGCCGGAAATAAATACATTTCTAGCTATATCATATGAGCTTACAGTTTCTCTGGCAGATAAAACTTGGGCTAAGGGGGGAAGTAGATTCAGCTCACTCTAGTATTGTTGAAGAGGGCCTGAATCAAACTCCCGGATCCATTACTCATTTCTGAATATTTTTTTAATTTGTTGGCTCTCTGAATGTTTCTGGTATGAATCAGGATTGGCTCTGTGTGAGTGAGTTGCCAGTAATACACCAAAACGAATGAGAAAGAAAGGAAGTATTAAGTCACTGAAATTGGGGCTACCCTGAAAAATCTGATTTACAGTCTGGGTTGAGACTGGCAATGTTCATTGCTGGCTAATTATAGATACCAACTACAAACTGGCTTCCAGTATTTTTGATGTGAATGTATTTTATACAAACTCTTCAAGTGTGTGTCCATTCTGCAAGACTAATGTGTTTATATGCATGTAGGTATAGACAATGTACAGGCTTTTTGTCTGCATAGTCAGTTTTTTTACAAGAGCTTAAACGGTTCAACCATTCTAGTGTCTTGTTTTCATATGCCCACATGTATTATACAGCATGGGCTAGTTTATAATAGTATTGAAGAACCTACAGATTGTGTTTCTAGAAGTGTCTAAGGGAGTCTAGCTCTCACTAAGAGTCCCACTGACTAGTTATGAAGGAAAATTATAGAGAATGGGTAAATACTGTAGCTGAGCCAGATCCCAAGCTCATCTAAGTGAAGGGAGAAGCTCCCTCTGAAGTCAGTGGAAATTGGATCATGATAACACATCTAGAGAAGATTTAATATAGAACTAAATGACAGTGATTGATGCCCCGCTGGGACAATATTATCAAATTCCACCTAATTTGGAGCCAGTCAACCAATGCCAGCTGCACTATAATGTTTAACCAGGTGTTAAATAGATGTGAACTTCTTAGATTTTCTCTGTCAAAAGGAAACAAATGAAGATCACAGGAATCTAGAATAAAAGATGAACTTTCATGAACGTCATTCTCGCTTTTTTCCTTTTCTTCCCTATATATGTTTGTCCATTATAGACTGGCTTTTATTTTGTGCATTTATTTTTAAACGGCCTCTTTTCTTAAACAGGGCAGCACTTAGCTGAGATGATAAACCATCTGCCCTCCACGTTGTCCCTAATAAGGTGACTGCGATATTGTCATCCTCATCTTACTAATGGCAAAGAAAGGCTAAATGACTAGCTTAAGGCCACAGAGTGAGAAAATTAGAATACAGGACCTCCTGACTCCCAGTCCTGTGCTCAGATCAGTAGACCATGCTGCCTTTGAGAGAGGTGAGATCTTCCCAGTTGTGTACTGTTACTAAAGCAAGAGCGTTCTGGGTGTGCCATGAAGGGGTGAGCACGGGATATGCTATAAAGAAGTAAGCACTGATGCAAGGACTTCTCACGGGCACACAGATTGCTTCAGAATGGTATATCTCACTGTGGCATCAGGCTCCCTGGAGCAACAGGTCTTTGGATGATTGTGGGCTGACACTAGGGTGCTGAGCAAATCATCATCACTTGGGGTCATCTGGGTTGATTTCCGGGGTTTGAGCTAGCACAACCTTCTTCTAATATTTGTCAGTGTAATTTCTTTCACTTTACGTGCTGGTAGGCTAGCATTGAATTAATCCCAAATGCATGCAGCAGAACTTCTCACAACAAGGGCTTGGGTGATCTCCATCCCCTATTTGACTCTAGTCTGCAGCTCATCTTACTCATCTGGGTTGTAAATGCTGGCTAAGCTAAGACTCAAACACCTCTCTTTGTCCAGGGGCTGGCAAGTAAGGCTGCACAGCACTCCTATGGGAGGTGCTAAAATGAGCCCTGCTAAGTGTTCTGCCTCCCGGACAACCTGTTCGGACGGACCATCGCTTCCACCTCTCTCTTACTTCTCTGACAAGCCCAAGAGCACGTGCAGTGCCCCTGTATCCAAGGCACTGAGTGGATTAGCTCCTTTATCTTTACTGTCTGTTATTTCCACTAACTTTTAGTTTTGCATTGAGCAGCAGATGAAGATGAAGACAAAGACGACGACTTCCGAGCTCCACTCTACAAGAATGTGGAGATTAAAGGAATCCAAGTACGGATGAAATGGTGTGCCACCTGCCACTTCTATCGTCCTCCACGCTGCTCTCACTGCAGCGTCTGTGACAACTGTGTTGAGGTAACAGTTCTGTTGATTATATGATCTGCTGGCTTTGCCTCGGTGATGGGGTTGCAGATACTACTGGAAACGTGCAGTTGGGTGCTTCGCCCAGTATTTCAGTTCTTGGAAGTTCCCAACCATAGCCTTGTTGAGGAACTCCTACTAATTAGTACCATTTGAAACATAGCCCTCAGTTATGATGTATGTTACATATGCAATAATGTTTGGTGTCAGCTTTGTTGCCAGTGATAATTAGAATAAAAATTTATAGTGCTGGCTGTGTCTTCCTTGAAGTAGCTAAGGGATCTTGAGTGTAAAAAAGGGGTGAATGGAAGAGTTCATGCAGAGGCAGAGTTCAGGAGAGTAGGAAATTAAGGGTAAACCATTGTAGCTTGTCATGTGTGAGCTTAAGGCTCATCATTTAATCTGGAAGAAACCGGTGCCTACATTAGTGGACAAGCAGAGAGGCTACAATGGTGGGTGAGCTTTAGGAAAACCAAGCTTGGAATTCAGCAAGTGGTTGTGCAGTCAATGGAAGGACCCCATGTTTGTTTCCACACCCCAGCTGAGAGCATGAACTCGTTCATGTTTCTAATGTTGGTCACTCTGAATTATGGGACTTTCATGTTTCTTGACAGCCCATGGGTCTTGGTGAGGTACACAGGATTTTAAAAAAATAACCCCCAAACAGTAAGATGTGCTTTTGGGCTATAAACATCTCCCAAACCTGTAAGTACAGAGTGCTGTATCCACAGCAGTGTATTGCCAGGAGGGATTTTTTTATTGCTGAGCTAAAAATTCCACTTCTTAAGGATCATTTCTGCTGCAAGGTCTGTTTTTTTCCCAATAGAAAGATGAAATCTTTAATATGTCTAAAATATATTCAGCTGTGCCATTAAAATGAAAGGAATTACTAATCAGAAAGGGAAAAAATACCAGTCAGCTGGAATGCTGTATACACCATCTTTGTCCTAATCCTCTTTGCCATAAGGAAGGGAATAGTCCCAAAGAAAGCAGCACAGTTATGTGTGAGAGAAAGGCTGCCTGGGTTTATCTTGTGTCAGTCATTTTCTCCTTCAGGGCAATATATATCTAAGTTATAATTATCTGGAAGCAGTGCTGTGCCTAGTAACCATCAATAAAAAGGACAAGGCTGTCCTGTTGTGGAAGGCCTTAGAAGGATGCAGGATTTGAGAAGATGAAGAGTAAGGAGCTGCCAAGGTCCCTGGGTAGAGGGGAGTAGACATAGCTATTCATAAGTTGTGTCACACAATTTCTTTAGACTGCTGTGAATTGTTGAATAGAGCTGGATTTTTTGTAGAAAGTCTGAGTCGTATATTCCTAGTTTTAAAACATAAATGTTTTTACTAATTCTAGATCCTGAGGCTTGTTTAGATGACGGTAAATTCTCAGTTGTCCCATGGAATTTCTTTCTTCTGCCCTCCCCAGTGAGTCAGCATGAAAATTCATTTTCAACAAATGAAGTTTCCTCAGAAAAAGATTGCTCAAAACTCACTGGTATAAACACTTGCAATTTCATGCTGCCATAAGGCTTCTGTTGGAGTCAGTTCTGCAGCAGAAATGAAAATGGGAGAAAATCCAGAAGTAACCTAAATAAAATAGCAGAGTGCAAGGTGACTCTGCCTAGCTCTCCAGAAGTTGCATTGATGGTTGATCAGTTGAATGTTCCTTACTATTGTGGTGAGCAAGTAAGAAGCTCTGCTTGTATAATTAAGTTATGGCTACTCTGGAGGAATATAGGCAAAAAGCATTAATGACTTCTGAATCAATAAATCATGGTCTTAAACAGCATGCTTTATTGATTCTTACGATGCTTATTTCCCACTCACCTGTCTGTTCTAGAAGAGCTTGAAGACAGTGATAGGAGCAATTCTGCTGGCTTTTCCATGTGGAACCCATTCAGAGTTTTAATTCACGTCTTTCCACTTTCAGTCTAGAATGTGCAATAAAAATTCTTTTCCCAAATATAAAACTTCTGAGCTAATTTGATAAAAATGAACAAACAACAAAAGCCAACAACGCTTGCAGAAATAAAATCAGTTAAAACCTAAAGCCTGCTGTGACCAGAGGGACACAAAAATGAATCTGTGACAAAAGTAGTCAGATTTTTGTTTTCTTTACTGAAGTGTTTAGAGTGGCTACTTACATAGTTTCATAATCTATAGATATTTTGGGCTGCATACAACCAGATTTGCATAATAGACATATGCTATGTCAGGATTTCAGATAGAGCCTGAAATGTCCTTTATTAAATTGCCCCTGTCATTTCCTAATGTGCTTTGAGAAAACTCTAATCCATTTTCTTGTATTTTGTAAGTTTTTGGTAAATACATTGTGCAAAACTTAAAAATACAAAAACCCCTTTGTCATCACTGAGGAATGTTTAAAAATAGTGTTACCACAAAAGAAAAAATAAACAATTAATTTGTTGGTGTAATAAGTGTGCAATATCTGTTCTGAAGAACACAGAAATAAGAAGGGTTTATTTCTTGCACCTGATCTTGTCTTTACGTCAAGAATAATCCCATTGAAGACAGTGGATTTACATGCTTATAAAACTGTGTATTTCCTTTCACCGTTTGGATATTGTTCCCTATCTCTCCCTTTCTTTGCAAGGATTTTGACCATCACTGCCCATGGGTCAACAACTGCATAGGACGGAGGAACTACCGCTATTTTTTTCTCTTCTTGCTGTCCTTAAGTACGCACATGGTTGGAGTATTCACCTTTGGGCTCATCTTCATACTAAACCATATCGAAAAGCTGGGAGCAGCTCATACTACCATTACGTATCCTTCTTTTTGGTCTTTCAAGACTCAAGGTGGTGGCCTTGAGGAAAATGTGAAAGACTGAATCTGAAGATTTGTCTTCCTGGAACTGGTGGACATCTACTCTTCTCCTGATCCCCCGTTGCTCTTCCTCTGTAAATGCTTCGTGCAGGTTTTCCTCTGTACCCATCTTACCTGTGAAACCATCGATGACCCCCAAAACTCTAGCTGACCTTTTGTCTATCTCAATCTTTGCCATGACAGCCCAGCAGAGAGATATGCCACCTTCCCAAATTTTACTTCCAATTGGGTGTGACTCTAAACTGCTGGGTACTGTTTACTGTATTTAAAACTCTGTTACTGTATTTTAAAGCAGGGTTTCTCCTGGAAGCAGTCCCCCTGCGTGCTAGTGTAATACACGAACGGCTGGCTCTCAGGGGTGCTACCCCTCTTGATAGACGAGTGCAGAATGGTCTTTACAATGAGTTCTCATTCTTTTTTAACCATCTCAAGGCTAAGGACCCAGGCTAGGAGCAGATGGACTTTGAGATAAAATTTAGTTAGACCTAATTAAAGGTGAGGGACACCCTCCCTATTTCCAAGGGTGGGGTTTTTTTTTTCTGCTTTTCCTCCCCTCTCCTTCATAGCCTCTTCTTCCCTTCACTCATCCCAGTTTCTTTAACTCCCGGATACAGAATGGCCGTCATGTGCGTGGCTGGGTTATTCTTTATTCCAGTCATTGGTCTCACTGGCTTCCATATTGTGCTAGTGGCCCGAGGGCGCACAACGAATGAACAGGTAAGAAGCAATCCTTTTTCTGTGTTTGTGGCTAAGATGTTGAGTTGGGAAGGAAAGTAAGCAAGTCAGCTTGAGTAAGGCAAAAAAATTATCCTAATCTTAACAGTAAGAGCTACTGCTCGAGCTACTGCTTCGGCTACTGGAGCTTTTGTGAAGATCTAGGAAGATTGCCTAGTTTTTTATTTTCAGACTTTTTTCTTGAATGCACTACAAGCAAAGATTTCCCCCTTCTAACCGCAAAGGATTATCTCAGGCTTATTTAGCATTTAAAATCTACTCATGGCCTTGAAATAGGTTTTATGTGGTAAGTATCGTCAACACCAGAAGTTCAAATTTATGAGTCAGACTGAACAGACCATGAGATTGAATGGAAGAAAGAAAGGAAAAGATTAAATCATGCTTTTGCCCTGTCTCCTGATATTTTGAACTCCCCCAGCTAGCCCACACTGCACATAATAAGGGCTGAGCTAGCTCTTTGTGTCTCTCTCTTTGTCTCTCTCTTGTTCTCATGCGTATGTGCACATGCACACGGAGAGGCTATTGGACCTAACTTGTTTGGCTTCTACCCAAACCAAGTGCCAACATGACGTCTTGTGCCAAAAAACATGTAAAACTTCAGTTTCCCTGCAGTCACTTGAACATATGTGATCCACAGCCCCTGTGTGGGTGATCCAGATATGCACGTGCATATCAGTAGCATGATGTGGGGGACAGAGGTCTAGCCATGGGACCGATAGCGTGCCCCTGCCATTCGTAAGGGGTAGCTCAGTTAGAAAGCTTGGCACTGGGTCACGCAGCGTGCCAGGCAGCTGCAGACGGCGTTTTCAGCTTTCTTCCCAAGGCTGATTAATTGTGTGCACTCCAGTGCTTCATCGTTTCACAGCTCCAGCTCCAAAGCGCCCCTCACACATCTGGGGGTTTTTTTCGCTTTTTTTCCCACATCACACCTTTTTTTCACTTTTTTTTTTTTTTTCAAATGCATTTTTACTGTTTTTGTGTCTATGGGTGCTCTCTAGCTCATGCTGAGCAGTGTGCTGTTCTGGCTGTCCTGCAGGCTGAGGCTTCATGCTTATGTAGCTTGTATGGCTGCTGTGCAGTCTGAGTGTTGAAAACATCTGTCTGAGGCCAGGCCTTCGTAAACTGGGACGGGATTGTCTCCTGTCCCACAAGAGACAATAAAAACTTTTTTCCAGAGTAGTGTGGGAGGTTAACATAAGCGAAGACTATGAAGTCATCCCGAATTGTTGCCTAACGTGGCCTTTGAACAAAGCAGGCTTACCATGGCTGTAAATCTTTTAAATGCTTTTCTCTGTCCTGCTTGGAATCAGCTGTTCTTCATTTTAAGATTGATTTTGGCCACTTATTATGTTTGATAGTGCTAACAATAGTAGCATGAAACCCAGGGCATTTCGGTCTCATAACCCAAATCATGGTCTGCCTTAGGCTTGTCTTTATGCAGTGATGAAAACTGTCATTAAAATTTTAGGCTGGGGAGAAAGGAAAAATTTAAATTTAAAAAAAAAAAAGTAAAATTTAACTTCTTGTGTTTGTGGCTACACTAACATTTAGGAAGGTTGAATTTTGTATTTAACTTGATTGAAATTGTTTACAATGAGGGTGATGAGGCACTGGCACAGGTTGCCCAGAGAGGTGGGAGATGCCCCATCCCTGGGAACATCCCAGGCCAGGTTGGACGGGGCTCTGAGCCCCCTGCTCTGGTTAAAGCTGTCCCTGGCACTGCAGGAGTTGGGATGGATGGGCTCTAAAGGGCCCTTCCCACCCAAAGTGTTCTATGATTCTATGAAATAGCTATTGGAAAATGCATCCTAGCTTGGTTTGGTTTCCTGAGCTACCAAACCACTTGAGATTAATTCATCTTCCCATGCCATTTTCTGAAAATTAAATATAATCTGGTCTTAATTTCTGTTTAGTCATATGTACTGCCTATCTGTAACTGGAGGATGGGTGTTGCCAGCCTTCAGGTCCCTTTCAAGGGAAGCATGTCTAAGTAATTAGAGCACCATACCAGGAGTGATGGATATGAGATCTGCTCCTGGCTTTGCCACTGTTTTAAAACATTCACTTTTCTCATGCAGTCTCAGTATTGATTCTTTTTTCTCACACTGTTAGTTATCTGCTGTCAGCTTTCCAGTTACAATATGCTCAGCTACACTTGTCCTCTTTTCCCAGGACATTTTATAGGCCAGTGGTACAGACATTTTTGGTGTTTTACTGCAAATTTTTGGTTATTTGTTCATTCTGGAGTCCATAGCTTTAGAGCATTCATGGTAGGCAGACTGTGATTTAGGAGTACATAGTGGCTGAGTTTAGATGTTTGTGAGCTTTCTGAATGCCTCTGGAAGTCTTTTTTGGAATCAAAATAACCCATAACCCAACATCTGCTCATATCCTGGTATTTTTAGTTTCTGAATAGAGTAAATAAATATCCTTCCTTCTGAGACTGCTTTCTATCAGTGGATTTCAACTACTTTGGAAACCAAATTGATATAATTAGTAATGTAATCTGTGAGTTAGAGAAATTTTATTTTCATATTGTGTTTGAGAAAATGGGCACGGAGATATGAAGTGCTTTGCCAGCATCTGGCACAAGTCAGCTTAAGCCCAGGATTGAATGCAGCTGTGCCAAATGTCCCAGGCCCATGTTTTAGTCATCAGGTTACTCTTCCAAGACTCAGAACTTCCAACATTTCTCTCTTGGCCTTTTAAAGAGTTTTATGTTATATCAAAGAGGCCAGCATAATATATTGCAAAATCATTTAATCGTTGTTATTTTATGTGCAAGTAATTAAAGTGTTTCTGGTACTCTGTAAACTTGTTGCTAGATCAGAACTATGAGTTGATTAAAATGCATTACTTGTGAACAGCAACAGTAATGCTTTTAATGGCAACCACTATTAATCTCTCTGGCTTTATTGGTATTTATCCCCATATGGTTACTTTCAAGTATCTGCCTGTGGAGTACAAACCCTTTATAATGCTTATGAAGCTTTGAATGGATCCCGCCAGTCTAATGACGCTTGGCTTTTATTAAACTAGCTCATTTCCAAGCGAACATCATAATCACCAGGGAGTTCCTGGCACCCTCCCGCATAAGGCAGTGGTTTGTACCGCTTGCCACTAGGGATGGGAGGCTGATAGAGAGGAAACGTTGATCTCATCCAACATTATGAATGTTGAATTGACATTCCTGTTTGTTTGGAGGGGACTTGCCAAGGCAGAGGAGTGGAAGCGACAGGAGAATGGAAGGGACCAAAGCAGGATGTCTGGCTGACAGCAGGCATGAATCTAATGCAGGAGCAGCATGGAGAGATGAACCTGGCCACTTTAAAACCCAGTCATGTTGAGCTCACTGCCCTTTTGGGAAGGGAACTGTAGTTGGTGTGCCTCCTAGGTAAAAGTATCTGATGGAGGTTGTGTGTTAGAGCCGGAGAGAGGAAGGGCAGCATTCAAAAAAAACTATCTGTTTGGGAAGGGCAGTAGGGTCAGAGCAAGGCATACTTGTTCTTGGCTTTCTGAGGGTTGGATGATGGCTTTCATATAACCAGAGGTTTGAGCACTGTCCTGAATGTTTCCAGGTGACAGGTAAATTCCGTGGGGGAGTGAATCCTTTTACCCGGGGATGCTGCGGAAACGTGGAACATGTGCTCTGCAGCCCCTTGGCTCCCAGGTAAGAGAAACGCTCTCAGCTGGGAATGAGGGAGGTAGAGTAGTTGTTGGGACAGAGGAAGAAAGTGTGTTTGGTTGGGCTCACAAGTGAAAGACCATTGATGAAATAACAGGGAAGTAAAGCAAAACACTCCTGAAGGCAGGGTTCTGTCATAGCTGCTTCACTGTTGCATGGCTGTAACCTGTCCAAGCAGTTGCTTTCTTAATGTAATTCATAACCCTCATCCCAGAAATGTTTATTTGGAATGAGCATGTCAAATTATATCAAGAGCTGATACCTTTGTCTTCACCAACTTGTTTATCCAGTGGATTTCGGTAACGAGGTAAGTTTCTGTATATTATCATATTCCCAACACGACTTTTTGCACTGTATAGTCAATGTCCAGGTATTCTGGTCTGCTGGAGAAAAGGAAGGAATCAAAAATCAGCCTTTCTCCTTAAGACATAAATCTAATTCAAGGCTGCTGTGGTTTTCAATCTCACTGGCACTTTCATTATCATAAAACAGATTTTCAATGAGGTCTACATCATGGAACTTGGGATTTTATTTATGGCTTTCTATTTTGGGGGAAATGGATTTATCGTTTCACATTTTGCAATCAGGTTTTTAATGCAATAGATGGAGTATAAATATCCTAGGTGCTGAGCTGTCCAGCCTGCAAACATGTTAATAATCATACTACAAGAAGACTTATTTGAGCCTTTTCAGGGTGTTGAGCAATTCCAGACCCTGACACTATTATCTGCCTTTTTTTTTTCCTTTGCTATGCAACAAATAAATCCTAAAAGACTGTTTAAGTGAAGACACTGGAATAGCTGCTTCTCAGACTTAAACAAAATGTGAAAATCAGGTCAAGAAACTTTGAGAGAGCCAGTTATTAGAAGTTGGGAGACACTCCTGTTGAGAGGGGTGTCAGTAATAGCATCATGGCTATTCTCAGACTTTCAGCAAGCAGAATGTTTGTGTTTTGTGAAGACCTGTTCAAATTGTCCTGTATGTTGAAAGTCACTGAGCCGTCACTACTAGAATGTCCTATTCACTAGATGAAACAGAGAAGGCTTGTGTGTGTGTTGATATTTATGCATTGTACAGCCACTGCCCAATTGCACTTACAGAATTCCAGTCCACTGCAAATAAATGAGATATCTCAAGTCAGCCATTTCCCTTTAGATTTGTTGCTTCCTATAGACCTGTGTGTTTCTTTCCCCTCCATTTATTTGAACACTCTAAACATGCTACAGAAACAAGTCACCATGTGGCAAGCTAGAACAGACAGCACATCATCTTCGCCATGTTAACTCCCCACGTGCTGGGTCTTATTCCCCCAGTCACCATCTTCCACTGCAGGGAAGCTGTTTCATGTTAACTAGGCAAGATCTAGTAAATAGCTTCCACTGGTGGTAGGCCTCTCTTTCTCTCTTCATGTGAACTGTGCTCTTGTCCATCAGTGCTTCAAAAATTGCTTGGGTTTTTTAATGCATCCTCTCCTTTTGGTCGCTAAAAAACCCATTGATCTTTTTATTGCTTTTTAATTATTACATCCATTGAAATAAACGGAGTGTGCTTACCTAGATTCTGACATGTTCTTAAATCATAACCTGGAAGCAGGAAGATTTCCTTGTCTTTATGCCTCGTTCTTAGGTTACTGTTTATTTTAATGATGACTGTTGAACAATTAATCAGGTACATAGTTGAGCCCAAGAAAAAGCAAGCTGTGAGTGTGAAGCCTCCTTTCTTCAGACCTGATTTATCTGAGCGACAGATCACAGTGAAGATCAGTGACAACGGGATCCAAGCCAACCTCAACCGGAGCAAGGTAAGGTAACCTTCAAGTGCTGCTTTTGAAGAGCATGGATTGAGCATTACCAAGCCTGGGAATGAGTTTGTCATTGAAAATCGCTTTGAGATGATGCATTTTTTTGAGAAAATGATAGAGGTTGAGTCCTTGTCGTATACTTCATCCTCTGAAAGTAACGCAGGTTCAGTAACAGCAGCTCGTGATCCAGTAACAGCCCTTTTTGCAGCTCTATAATAGAATGCCTCTGGGCATCTTTTGGAAGAGGTGGCTGTTCTTTGCAATACTTTCTGTCCCAAGAGTTGCCACCTCTTGGTCTTCAAATTAATTTTTAACGAACCTAACACTGTGTGGGAACCCTTGTAACACCAGGTCAGCTGTTCTACTTCAAAGAAGGTTTTGAGCTGCAGGAAGGTTTGCGGTCCCCTGAAAGGAATATTGGCTCAGAAGCTGAGTTCTCTTCTCACCTCTTCTTTTTTAGTTTCTCCTGGCATGAAATAGAAGGATTAATCATATAAAAAGTGGATTCAAAAGAAGCCACCTTGCAAGATTTTTGTGGATAATTACTTGTTACACTCTTTGTGTAGTTACTTGCTGAGAGCTGCTTGGAAAGTTGCTGAAAAATGCTAGAAAACACCATTGTCTGCTGCCACATATTAGCTAGCGTGATGATAATGTTATTTAGCATGCCAAGTAGGCTAGGATAGTGCATTTAAAATTATACTGGCGTGTTACGACAATGCTAGTTTTATACATGACAGTCCTTGTCTGCAGTGGATGCTAAATCATGTTTGTCATTATAGGTATAGGTAGTTCTTGCTCTGTGGTACATCCGGCACTCTGACACATGCTGTTATTTCACCAAGTTGCAGGGAGTGATTGATTCTTTGGTCATTTTCAGTCTAAAATTAGCCTGGAAGGTCTGGAGGATAAAAGCATGGATGTACAACCACCTCTCCCGCCCAAAGGAGATCCAAGCAAGTACTCTGAGCTAAAAGGGCAGCTGGGGACCAGTGAAGGTATAGTTGCATGATCAGTGTTTTATTTTTACTAATAAGAAAATATTTCAGTCTCTTTAAAAGGCTTCTGGTATTCTTTCAAAACAGTAATGGGATCTGGATGAAGGGTTTTTTCCTATTTATAGGGGTTCTGAGCTAGGGGAATAAGCAGCAGGAAAGGGAGGAAAAAGGCAGCTTGAAGTGGTTCATTCAAGCCTAGGTTGGATATTTCATATCAGTTTCGCAGAGTTTTTAAACACCTTCTTAAATTTTTTATCAATTTTAAAATGAAAAATGTCATTTTGAACTAAGGAGTCAGAAATATGAGCATGAAATGCTTAGGCATTACAAACAATCATTTATGAAAATGTGAAATTAAGGCTTTGATACTATTAAAAAAACTTTTTTTTTTTTAAAGACAAAACTAGTAGCTGAATTCAACCCAAATATCTAGTATTTCAAATTATGGCAAAATTACTACTCATCAAAATATGTCACCCCACTTAATATATTATACCTTGTTTCTTTTCTTTAGATTGCTGATCTGGCAGCAATGTACTGTTACTTCCACAGGGGACCCATTGATTTTGGTGGAATTCTGCACAAAAGTGCTGCAAGTTTTAGTCTTTCCAGAACAGGTCCGTTTGCAGAGGACCATGGATAGCAAGGAATTAGGGATGATAGTTTTCTGTCCACACATTTTAATAGAAAGTCTTTTTTTTTTTTTTTTTCTTTTACAGAAGGTGGCCTTTCACCCAAACTTATCAGCCCTCCTACACCTGCCATGTACAAGTATCGACCGGCTTTCAGCAACAATCCCAAAGTCCACTACCATGCTACAGCTGAGCAGGTGAGCCAGCCTGGGAGAATCTGCTCCCAGCCAACACCAGGCAGCATGGAGCTGAGGATAAATTCACCGCAGGGCTCTAGTGAATGTCAGAGTGTAAAAGTAAATAACAACACTTGGCATTGTTGTGCGATAGTGTGCATTCTCACTGTGCTCCTTATGAAAACATGTCTGCTTTCGCAGCTTTCCTCTGTTGAGCTTGACACGTCTGTCCTGCTGACAGGCGTGCGCTGCTGCTTTACCAGTGTCTTGGCCTGATCCTGAGATGCTGAGAAGTGTCACCTCCCATTGGCTTCTCCTGACATAGGTGCCAACGCACGTTCACTTCAGAGGGAGCTGGGCATGCTTAGCGCTTTTCTGGATCAGACCCTTTAGCCAACAGACAACAAGCTCAGTGGTTCATTAAGATGTCAGCTTGCAAAACAGAAAGAACTTTGAAAGCATCCCAAGAGATATTTTAGTTAAAATTAATGGAAGATGCCTCAGTCTGACCTTCCTTAGCACCTTCTCAGTGCATTTGGGTTATATGGGGGGGAAAAAAAAACTTCCTAACACTTGGCACCATTTCCTCCTATCAAAAAAACTGAGGTCCAAACAATTAGAGAGAGTTGCTCTGGAATTTTGACTGTTTTCTCTTTTGCTTAGGAGTTTTGAAACAGTTTACACTGCTTCCTTTGAAAGCAGAGTGCAAAACTAAGCCCACTGCTAATAGGCTTGTTTTTCTCACTTATTTCTGGTGGTTTTGTCGCAACTATTCCTTGGTCCCCCAGGACCTGAGAACAGCAGTTTGAAAATCACCGGTCTAACTTGTATATTTGCAATATGCATCCAAGTCTTCGCACACCAGTGGAGATACCCTTAAAACACACATACCACACACAATGCAGTTGTCTTACAATTTATTTCATCAGGTCCTCCGATGTCACCCCTGCAATAACAAGAAGGGGGTGATATAAGTAAGGAAAGGAAAATATGGTAGAGAGATATAACTGACTGCAGCAACACTGGAATAAGACAGAATGTTCCTTAAATGGTGAAGAAAACTTTTCTAGTATCATCCTTGTTTTGAAAAGAAAGATGGTGATAGATGGTGGAATTCCAGCTACTACCAAGTTTGGGTTTTAGTCTTACTGTAATAATTGTCAATCTTATTCTCTGGATTTGTCCACTTAATGAAGAAAAGATTGGCTTATGAAAGGGAACATAAGAACAACAGTGTGGTCACTGTATCCAAAAAGTTTAATATCCTATCATCTGCACTTTATTACATGAAAAATGGCTTGACATCCAATTCAAAATATTCTGTTTACAGGCATCAGCTAGCAATTTTGAGCTGTGTAAGCAACAGTATTTTGGGTCATGAGGCCAAAAGTCAGAGAGCCGTGGAAGGCAAGCTTGTTTTATTCATTCAGTAACTAGCCATAGATGCAATGTAGATACAGGAGAGATTTTAAGTAGGCCAGGAGACTGGGCAGCGCTGTGAAATCGTAACAGCGTACAGCATCTTCATTCTGAGGGTTGCTGTTTCAATACGAACCTAAAAAGGTGTTGTTACTGTAGGCTGACTAGTGTGCATACAATCAGCTTTGTGGACTTGTTCAATTTTATAGTAGTCACAATTTTCTAGTAGTCAAGTGGGAATATTATGAAAATGAGTTCACTTGGCAAGCTGGTAGGATAGCATGTCTTTGTCTGCCAAGCCGTATCTAAGTGTAAGGTACAGGGGGAAAGAGACTAGCGGGGGTGAGGAGTATCATGTTGTCTCTTCTGTATCAGTTCTTCAGCCTGTCAATGTAATTCTGCTTCTGAGCAGTGAAAGCTGTTAGGAAGGAAGGATCAGGGCACAAGGATAAGTAGCACAAATACAAGCTATGTCATTGCTCTCTCCTCCGCCTTTACAGGCTGTCACTTGGTCTCCTTTTTCCATGGGAGGCCAAATTCAGCACCATGCTTTAGAAGATAGTGAGCTGTTTTGCGTATTTCCCTATCTTCTAGCTCAAAGAAAAAAACTTGAAGAAAAAATCAGAATAAAACAGATTTTTGCCAGTTAGGCTTTTTTGGATAGTTGTCCTCTAAAAGAAATTAGATGAAGAACAAACTGCATTGACTGCATTTCTGATTAAATATGTGGCTGATAATAATTCTTCATTTGCAGAGCCAATGTAGCTAATTTATTGTGCATTATGGCAGACTCTCTCTTAAAAATATCAGCAAAAATTATTTGCTTGGCACAGAATGGCATTTTAAGTGAACAGAACTGTAAGGAATCTTTCATAGAGTAAACCAAAGTGAAGTCCTATCTGTTTTCAGTGCACATAAATAAATTATGGCCTACGTTTCCTTCTCTGATGTGGCCGCTCTCTCCGACACAGGCAATAAAAAAGAGAAAATTGCTTCATTTTGTTGTCTAAATGGTGGGAAGGAGCCTCTCTGCTTTAATTAAGCTTAGGTGCTTAATTTTGAAGACCTATGACCAGAAATTCAGAATTACTGAATATTCATAGCTCTGAGTAAAGAGGATAAGAGTGTGCTGGTCCCCAGTGTGTTGAAATGAAGCCTAAAGTATTTCTGACTCAGCATGCAAAACCAGACATCCCTCAACTCAAGAGCTATTTGTAGAAAAGTTGAAGTGCTTTTTCCAAGGGCAGTATTATCAGATTGCAATCTGATTTACCCTGACTGAGACTTGAGTCTCAGTTTAGAAGGTCTCTCATTTTGTGTTTTCGGTGCCCATGTATTGACATATCTATTACTGTCAAGATTATTTAGCACTTATTGTGAATAACTCCTCCTTGCTTCTAAGGTGCTTATCCGTATGCTGAACAGGAGTTAGGAGATTCCTTGTAATGAACCTGTGTCATAGCTGGGCTGAGAGTCTGAGAAGACCTCCAGCTCTTTTCTTCCCGTGCACTCACCATGGAGAGCAAACCTCTACCGTCGTATCATTGGCTTCTGTTTCTCATATTCACCTCTGTTTTAGATCACCATGCAGGAGGGACACAGTCAAGGGGCTCTGATAGAAGAGGATGGCAGGAGCCTTGATTACCAGTCCGAACCCAGCCTGGACATCCCCAGCTACCGGAAGAGCTCCCTCCACAAGACCTATCAGTCTTCCCCGCTCCAGATAGATTCCTTTGCCATCAATTCACGATCCCTGAGCCTGAAATCTGCTGGTAGGAAGGGGACAGACAAGGTGGCCCTTCATCCAATGAAGTCTGAAGGGGCGGCTTCCACCCCTTACAAAAGCATCTTTTCTCCCAATTCCCTGTCTAACAGAAATGGGAGTCTTTCATATGACAGTTTGCTAAACCCCATGTCGCCCTCGGGGAGGAAGTGCATCGCCCATTCTGCGGTCAGCTCCATTGGGTACCACTCCCCATATTTATCAGCCAAAATGTGCCATCTACGGGGGAGCGAGCTGCAACGCCAACCACCGCAGAGCTTCAGCCCAGTGCTGGGGGGTCCAGCTCCACATCAGCGAGACCCCTCCCCAGTCCGCTATGATAACCTTTCCAAAACCATTATGGCATCCATCCAGGAGAGGAAAGAGATGGAAGAGAGGGAGAAGCTCCTCCACTCGCACCCCGATTCAGTGTTTGCAGACTCGGGTGTCTATGACACCCCTAGCTCTTACAGCCTTCAGCAAGTCAGCACGCTCTCTGAAGACCCACGCAGCATGGCAATGAGATACGGATCTAGAGACAATCTGATGGCTGCTACCAGTTTTAGCACAAGGAACCCTATACTGCAGTCCTCAGTGTCTTCACTCTCAAGTGCAATGACAAGAGCACCAAGGACTTCCACAACCTCTCTGCAAGCTGATTTAGCCAATAATAACGTCCAGTCCCATCAAGCACTACAGGGCAGGGTGAGCAATGGCTCCTACAAATCCCCAGGCCACCAGGTCCCGTCATCCCCCACAGGGATGCCTAGGTCACCCTCTTACGGAGGCCCGAAGGCTGTCTCATTTGTAAACACTGTGGAAATTACAGAGGTGCAATCAGTGGGAGCACAAAGGTATGTACTGCTTTAGGTGCTGCTTAGCAGTGTGAGTCTGTTCACAAGCAAGTGCAGGGCGCTGCGCTGGAGGCACGGCCCAGATTACGTGTTCACTGTAGGCCAGCGAGGGTGGGAGGTTTGTGGGTGCTCTTCAATTCTGTGACACCATTATTGCAACCTCATTGTGACAAAATGTTTGCACATTTGCTGTAACTTGAACTGCAGGTGGTCAATTAAGTTGTGAAAGTTGCAGCTATTTAGTGTCTTAGCTGAATTGGATAATTATTTGCAAGATAGGAGGCAGATTATCCCTCCCGTTACACGTAAAAATGCGGAGCTGTTTTAGTTTGCAGCCTAAAGGGAGGCTGGACCCAGCCATTGCTTGGACACAGAGGCAAAGCTGGGATCACAGCACGTGCAAGCATCCCCTGCACTAAGGGAACAGGGGCTGAGACCCGTCCTGGCAATGGTGCTTGGCATAGAGCTGTGTATTTAGCTGTATTGAGCATCCCAAAGTACAGAACTGGTGATAAAAGCACAGACGATCTTGGCATTACCTCAGGGCGACAGTGTGGGGAGAGAGAGGATTTGTTGTGCTGAAAGCCTGAGTAAGTGGTATCTGAGCAAGATCCTCAGCTGCAGCTTCTGCATGCACTTACCTTTCTTTCTCTTCCTTCTGGAGACTATAAGGCTTGAAAGTTTGAGAAGAGCTACATTATCCTGCCGAGGATGCAGTATTTCAACCAAGCTGGGGCCTGGACAGCTCATCAGAAATAACTAGGTTTTCTTTGCATCTGGCACTTCCTGCACTATGCTCTCCTGTGGTTAAGGTCCCAGGTTTCTCACTCCGATATTATCCAACATTTTGGGGAAAGTTACTGAAATATGGGAGAACCATTATTGTAGGTCTGCTGAAGTTTAGTGCCAGCAAGTTTTTCCTCAACGTTTTCCAGTGAATTGTAGTTGTTAAGATGATTTGTCTACTGGTGGAAGATCTAACTTTCAGGAGGTAGACAGCCCTTTTTTCCTCTTCATACGTAGTAAAGAAATGATTCTGTTTCAGTGAAAGAAGACCTGTGGACTTTCTTTTGCCTCTCTGCCCTCTGTTTGAGACCTGGACATGTCAGCCGCTGCTGTAGAAAGATGCTAATATCAAAAGCTGTTTGCTTTTTCTTAGTCTCTGGTTCTTGGTTATGCTGTCAGTCTGTTGGTCCCACTGCTTTTACACTGTGCTTGTTTGAAATGTAGAGCCTGTAAATTCACTTCAGTCCAGCTCTTTGAAGTACTGAAAAATACAGTGTCTGGCAAAAGTGGTCTAGCTATTAAAATAGCTACAGATGCCATCGGATGTTAAAGAAAGTTGCAGACATGATACCATTGCAGAGGATCTTTTTTACTGAAGTCCCTAAAGTCAAGTCAAGTAGCTAGATTAATAAATAGCTAAATAAACTGGGAAGTTTTTTACCTAGTGAAGTAAACCTCCCACAGGCACTCTGTGCTTTGTAAACCTAGCACATTTTCTGTCAGTAACACTCCAAATGACATTCCCTTCTCCCTTTTCCCCCAGTGCTCCCCAGCTCCTTTCTGCCTTGTTTCAGGAGGCAGACTGTGTTCTTCAGGAGAATTTCAGCACTGAATTAGGGCTGTTATAATACTTCAATGAGATAAATGTAGAATTTGGTCCCTGCACATTTCGGCCATTTGGCGATACAGCAGCGTTTTACGAAACCACGTAATTTTTTTTTTTTTTTAATTTATGTATGTGTGTTTTGCTGGTTCAGATACCTGCAGCTCCATTCTCTAGTGCAAACAGAGCTAAAATGCGTAGCAGAAGCCGGGCTGGTGTGAGCTGGACCTGCTGCTCCAGCTCCCGGGTACAGCTGCCAGACCAGGTTGCCCCATAAAAAGCATTTTTAGTTTAGGAGCTATTCTGAGCCTGTCAAAAGCCATGTAAAAGTCCGGGGTACTTTGTTTACAGATGTAAAGGAAGAAATTGCCTTTTGAATACAGTTAATCCGTCAAACCCTCTGGCCTCCAGAAGAAGTTAGGGTGGTCCAAAATAGCTCAGGCTGCCTCGGTTTGCAGGCAGACAGAAAGTGTCCCGGCCCCATGTCACTGCTGCTGGCACGAGCCAGCCTTAAACTCCAGACGGAGGCAGACCCAAGCAGACACCACGGTGCAGGAGTGAGATGTGAGAGCACAGCAGACCCCGGCTGGGCTGGCGCTTCCAGAACGTACACAAGTTCTTTGGTAGGCTTTTATCTAATTACTTCGTGAGTCCTGGGGACGAGACATATTAAGCTTTAGTGTGTAGTGGCCTAGATTTAAAAGATCTTTTGAGGAAAGCCTGTTGTCCATGCTCCCCGGCGGTAGGTCATAAGAAAGGAAATTATTTTAAAGAGTCCGTCCGGAATATGGTCTTTAATTACAGACATCTTAGAGTGCTTCCTGACTTGATTCAGTTTGTGTCTTCTGTCATAAAGCAGTCTTACGCTTCACCTCTCTCATGTCTTTCAGAGATGAGCAACAGAATTTTGTTTAACTGGATATTTAACGGGGAAGTGTTTTTTCTGAGTATTTTATTTCTGATTGCAAGACACAATTTGGCATAAGGTCAACAGTGGTAAAAGTGAAACCCTCCTGCGTCCTACAAATGCTTATGCAATTAGTTTGGTTCAAGAAAGCATTTAAGCAAGTAGCTGAATGAACAAATATTAGCGGGGTCTGATCCACCAACCTAATGGCCAAATGAATTCTCTCATTTCAGTGGCTTTTCATCAAGTGTATTGGCTTCAGCCAGGTTGCTCCCATGCTTGAATATTTTGCAACACTGGGACTCAGGGTAACAGGGGTAATTGTTTATCCTGAATGAAGCCATTCTGCTATCACGCTTTGGTTCTAACATTGCTTCTTTTGATGTTTCTTTTGGTGCAGGGATGACATGCAGTTGAAGACACCTCACAGTAAAATAAATGGACAGCCAAAAGGAATATCCAGGTTGGGTTCAACATCAAGTTCCCAGGGGACGCCTGTCAGCCCTGCTAGACACTCAAATGTTAAGAAGGTGTCTGGAGTTGGTGGAACAACCTATGAAATTTCAGTGTAAAATAAAATTAATTAAAGAGCCATCCACTCAGCCAGCCATGAAGCTAGGAGCACTGTGAAGACTCAAATAACAACCAAGAAGGAGCAGCAGCAGCCGGCCACTCTCCTTTTCTTGTTTTGGGTTTGTTCTGTTTTCATCTTTCTCTTTTGGCCAAAAACCAGCTGCAGCCTTATTCTTGAGGGAGTAAAATTGTACAGTCCATCAGACTCTTCCTGAACCGACGGGCAGGAACTGGCTACAACCTAACACCACAACCACAGAGAGGATTTCTTTCATGCAAGAGAGCGCTAAAGCCATTGTGCGTGCGTCTGTCCAACAAACCTGTCGCATACCAGTTGTGCTGTGAAAAAGTACGGTCAGTCCAGGATCATTCAGTTTTTCCCATGCCCCTTCCCAGTTCTTCTGGCCAGCGACGTGTCCGGCAGGAGTCAGAGGCCCAACTGCTGTTTTCCTAGCGACATGGAAAGCAGGCTGCCTGTGCTGGGCAGTCCGCGTGTGCGAGAACTCCTCTGTGTCCCCCAGGCGTTGCAGGTCCGGCTCCTCCTCCTGGGAAGGAGCAAGGCAAGGGCCACGAACGCCGTGTCGTCTTTAAAAGCCTCCCTGCTCCCAGATGGGAGCAGGAGAAAGGATAGCAACAGCTTCTCACTGTCTGCCGTTCGCCTCCCTGTGTGTGAAATCGTGTGTGTGTGCGCGTGCGCGTGTGTTTGTCTCTCGTGGAAAAGGACCGCAGCACCAGTAAGGATCTTCCACTCTGACCTCTCGCTCCCTCTGGTTTTCAAAGGCTTCTCTGACTCGGAAACAAAACCAAGCAGATAAAAAAGGAAATGTTTGGATGGGAACAAATTTTAAACAGCCGTCAGCTGCTTTCCCTGCACACTCCTTATTACCTGTTGGATTTAGGCAATAACATGGTTTACTGCCTTGCCCTGGTGCCATCTGTGTAATCCTGCAGCAAGGTTCTCATGATCTGTTGAATTTACAGTGTGTGTAACTGAGCCAAGCATACATCTAAAGGATAGAAATTTTCTGTCTGCCTAATTACTAGCACATTCCCTCTGGTCTTCAATAATGTTAGACAAAGGATTTTCCGTTTGGTATTTTTTTTCCCCTGGGGAACAACTTTTTAAAATAATATCAATCAAATCTATTTAACAGTCTGAGGTTTCCTTTTCCTGTCTCCAGAAAACTACATTTAGTTTGTTGGATTTAAAGACAACTTTACTCTAAAAAACAAGAAAGGGATGCATTGCTTTTGTCACAAATATGAGGACTCTGGCAAAGCTAATTTTGCGACAAAAGGATTTTTTTTTCTTTTCTCCATTCCTTATCTCCTTTCCCTTCCCATTCATTTACCACCTCAGAAGTCAAAAGTACTGAGATCTGGTCCAGTGCTAATTAGCCAGATCACCTGTGCAATTAAGAATATCCTGAGCGACTGTTGCCAAAGTCACTAAAAATCTATCACTGAGCCAGTCAGCATAAGAAACCTCGACTTCCCACCTGGTTCTCCTGGTGAATAGTTTTGACTAGAGAGCTAAATTCATCATTTTTCAGGATATTTGTTTCAAGGGGTTGAATCCTTTTCAGTCCTCGACTATAATGGAGAGCTCTCCAGATATTTGGTAGCAATTCAGAATGTGTTGATAACATTTTACTTGTTTTCATGTATGTTGAGATTAATTATTTCAGAAGGCAAATATTGACCTCAGTTTTGCCTGGTTAAAATTTATCTTTTGATTTGATAAATCTTGACATCTGCTGCAATACATGCTTATTATTTCCCTTGTGTATCACATCATTTTTTGGAGAGGAAGGTTGAAGAGAACATAAGAAAGTTAATCATCTCTCTGTGTAATGCTCTGGGTTGGCTGAAGGGAGAAACCTGGAAAGCAATGCAGCTGCAATAGGCCAAAGTTATGAGAAATCAGTGTGCATTTTATTGCCTTGATGATATTTTGAATGCCTACTGTAGGGACATTGGAGAGCAGAGAAGCAATAGTCTTTCTATGCAGATTTGCTCACTGGCATGTAGAATATTGTCTTTAGTTGAAGGCACCGCGGTACCAGAAGGATGCTGGCAAACTGGATCAGGTGCAGACGGAGCAATATATATTAAAAGACTGGACAGGCTGGCTGATGAGAAGATTTAAAGGGCTAAAAACATGTCCCTGGCTAAGCAATGAAGTGAAATTGAGTATCATAATTTTGCAAACACGTTAGTTAAAAGATGTAAAACCAAAGGTAAATCAAAGGGTTGTCACTGGTAACCAACGGTCTACATTTAGGGGCAGAAAAGATGGAGGGGAAGGGGCAGTGGAATAGTCTTCCAAGGCAGAGTATTGGAGACTAACTGTTTAGGAGAGTCAAACTGTATTTGGACAAGTCATCAGAAAAATTTCTGTAAGAGGTGAGCCTGCAGGGGCAAGGGGCTAGACCAGATGGCCTTATAGATTTCTTCCACCTTTAACTGTTATTAATCTGCAACTCTACCCTGATGTTAACTCCTCAGGAAGATGCAGTACTTCCTCAAGGACTGGAATTCACTCTGGTGCATAGAGTATCACAAGACTTACTTGTTTTTAAAGTATCACGTATGCCATATGTAAGCCCTGAAGAAGAGGGGATATGTGACACACTGAATTTGGGCTAGGGAGCTAGACAAGGGCACATTTTATCATGTATCTTTGAATACGTACATGAAATTCATGCATGCAAGGCTGAAAATTTGCACCAGTGTAATATTTGAGATTTGCATCCCAGTGATGCTCCACTTTGATCGTTCTTTCTCCTGCATTTATAAATGAAAAAGCTACTGAGGAACTTGAAGGGCCAAAGAGCCTTTGAAGTTAACTACATTAGTTCATGAGAGAATTTCTCAGTAAGACTAAACACAGTATTGTGTGTATAAAGCACTAATATCCAGGGTTATTTTGACATAGTTCACAAGGGGTAGGGGAAGAAAGAATGAATGCACTGTGTCATTACAGGTTCAGATGTAAGGATTATTATATATTTTGTGAGTAGTTTTGCCCACAGTTGAGAGACATTCGACTTGTTAATAGGTTTACAATGGTACCAAAGTCTTTTTTTTTTTTTTTTTCCTTTTGAGGTTTGCATATAATTCAGTGCACGTAGCCTGGAGTAAATTATTCAAATCTTCCGAAAGAATAATCTAAGCAGAACTGTTAACAGGAGATTGCATGCAGCAAATCCAGCCTCATTTTCCATCCAAGGCACTGAACCTGCAGCTGTTTTCCCATCAATGTAAGTGTCCGTTTGCATAGCTCCTGTTGCGGGACTGGGGACCTATTTATTAAGTCTAATTTTGGAGCGGAATCCAGCCCATGTTAAAGTATAGTTCTTCAAGCAGTTTACAGATCAGCAGCAAGGTTCTTCTGCCCAGATAGTCTCAGTTTTTACAGACACTGCAGGCCAAATCTTCAGCTGGTGTAAATTGCTGTGGCTCCATCAAAGCTCATTTAAGTGATGCTAATTTACAGTAGGTGGGGATCAGCCATGAAAATCCAGCACAAGTTAACACATCTTGTAAAGTAGCTTCTTTATTTTTGTCATGTTTATTTCATGTTTCAGAAGTCTTAAACCTTTTCAACATGTTTTTATTTTTAGCTGTGGATTGTATTACTTATTTAAAAAACAGCAATAGTTTTTGTTTAGTTTATGCATCAATTTTCATTGCATATTGCATTTTATTAGCTGTTCGTTCCTTGTTCGTACACTCCCATTTAGCCTCCAGGTTTTCATTGTAGTACAATCTGCCTTGAAAAGTTGGATCTCTGTATCTTTAATTGTATAATATATTGAGTATTATGAAATTAAATGTACCTTACTACATGGGTGGGAGAGAGAGGAAATATTTTTACTTGAAGCCTTAATATTTTCTTTTTTTACTACTTTGTTTGTTGACCTCATCAGAAAGTCTGAATAGCAAAGACTTTGAAACTCTGGGCCAAATACTGCACTGATATACAACCAGCATTTGGTCCCCTATGTCAAAACTGGATGCAGACATAACCTGAAGCGAACAAGGGAAAAAGCCTCAGGGTGGCATATTTTCCTGAAGATCATTAATACAGTCTCAAAATATGTCTGTAAGCAAGTATGTTAAAGAAGTCTTCAAGTCTGGAATTTTTAAGAAAGGCGATAGCAGGAACTGCCCTAATATCTTACATTTGCATTTTCTTTTTAACTTAAAGAAAACAACACAAATGTAATTACTTAAAGTCAGCTCTAAGGGTTGCACAGAGCTATGTGTTAGTAGCCGTGTGCAGCAAATGAACTGTGTTGCGCTGCTGTTCCAAAATTGCTACCAAGCGTAACGTTACGTCACCTTGGCCTAAGATGATCACCTCATGGGCGTTACAGCGGACGTTCCTCAGATGATGCCGATTCTCCTATAAGCCTAATGTGGAAATTGCAATGTGGTTTTCTTTGGACTATATCTGTGGTCCAGACTAGAGATAGAGATATATATATATATATTCAATATTTTTTTTTGTGTGGGAAAGATGGGGTCAAGGTTGCTGTCTCTGACAGTCTGGAAAGTTAATGTCGAACCGTTTTTATGGTCTGTATTTCACCTGTTCCGCCACCTTGAATTGTTGGAATGTATCCGTGCAGGCTTTGTGGAGCTCTGTCTGTAACCTTTTTTGTGGCTCTCGTAATACATATATATTTTTTAAACCTTTGAGTCACTTCAGTATTTTAAAGTGTCTGGTTTTCCCCGATGAGTTACGCCTCAGATGCATTCGTTTGCCGAGATGGTTCATGGCGTGCTGCCCTTTTTCACTTCCACTTGTGCAAAGAGTGAACTGAAATGGTAGAGCTGGAAAGGCCAGTTCCAGTGCAAAATCTGCAGGTGACAAAATATTAAAAGAAGCGACTGCAGGTTAAGTCTCATTTTCAAGGTGCTCATGGTAGAGTAGAAAATATGCTGAGTCTTTAAAAGCGTGTCTCCTAATTGTGACCAATGGATCATGCTTGTGAGGGCGTAGTTAAGTGGTCCATGCAACAACACTAAATTAAGTTTTCTATACTGTTTTTTTATTAAAGTTGTGGGGTTAATAGGGATCCTGTGGTCCAGCACAATTGTGAGTCGTTGCTACAGAGTAACTGTGGAAAAAATGTTATATTGATATTTGTTGAAATGTTCTATCCAGGATATCTGGATTTATACATCCCAAAGATGTACAATTTTTAATCTATCTTCATCTATCTATCTGTTTCTAGTCTTTGAAAACATGTCTGTCTGATCCGTAAGACTGGCTTGTAACACACCCAGTTGCCAAGCCCTCCTAACAGCAGCTGCTGCAGGATTTCTGATGCCGTAATTTGCATATATAGGCTAATTACATTAAGCAAGGATCCATTCAAGTGTGCTCATTATAAATGCCAGTCATCGTTGTGTGCTGTCGTGTCTTCACACGGCAGAGATTACCTTATATATAAAATGGCCAAAAGCCTAATCACCAGGCTCCGCTGATGTTGGCTACATCAAACAGAATTACATAAGCTCGTGATCAGTTTTAGTACATTTTATTTAAAGACATCTTGGCTTACAGTGATCTTGGCTTTTCTCTCTCTAAGTAACGGATAAATTATCCAAGTTTATATTCATTTCTCCATTATTGTTATTTTTTATTCTGCAGGACAAGTTTCAGTTCACATTTTGGAACATAATAAGGAGACACAAAGGAAACTATTTATACAGGTGAATATATCTTTTAAGAGAGGAGCAGTTACATAATAAATCGATTAGAATTACTGTCAAAATAGGTTTTGTTCATCTT